TTATTATATATGTAAGTACTATATTAAAATATTAATTTTACAATAATAAAATATGTGCATTTTTTTTTCAGAAATGTTTTCATATCTATGCAACGATTTTTCATTGAAATCAAAAAAATTAACATATTATSTATTAATTATTACCGTAGTTAAATTAATTGGTACCAACATTTGATACCTATATTACACAAACATGCCATTAGCACATTCATRGTATTACATTTAATAAAATWCCTTAATAATTGGACCATCACAATTTTCTAATTATTAACAACAACATRGAATCAATGATAATATTATTTTGACATAAATTAATGTATTGTAATCAATTAGTTTTTTTTTACGTTTGTTGACATGATCGACATTATGGAAATTTCTATCGACTGATTATATTTAGGAAGTAGGTACTGACGCTATAGTTAAAAAGGTTGATTAAGCAACACAACATCTTATCACTTTCGTTAGGTAGGTTGAATACCATAATATTGTTGATATAAAACCCGATGTTCTGCGGACCGCTTCGTTTTAATTATTCTATACAATATAATATTATAATTTATCAGGTATATAAATTTAAGTTGATTAGATTCCCAAGTGCTCTTTTTCATATATCATTCGAAGGAGTTTTGAATATTCACCACAAGACACAACGGAGATTGAAACGTAATACATTTTATTTTATATTTTKTATTATATTATTTTATCATATTTTTAGATTTATCACTTAACAAACATAGTAAACTACCTAACTATATTGATATATTTAATTTAAGGATTAAATATCGCAATAATTAATGTTTTGCTAACATTATAATTTTACTAGTTAGATTGGACATTAATTTCGATAACATCAAAAATATTCTTTATGTTTATCTATTCATTTATTTATTGTTCGACTATACTATTTTTACTAATCATAAGTTTAACGTAGTCGTACACTTGACGTGTTAAAAAATATGTTCAATCATAACATCCATACTATATAGCCACACTTATTGTTTCAAAATAAATCAAACTAATTAATTTGAAGTTTATAATAGGTACTAAATGAGTGCGTTTAAAAAATAAATTTAAAATTTAAAATTTCATTATTAGGATTTAACTGTTTTAGTTTGAAAACTTTATACACTAAGCTTTTAACTATAAATACTTTTTTAACTAAAAGAGACACAATATTATGAAAACTTTAAGAAAAAATATTTCTATGAAACTGCAGGTAAGTTTTATATTTTGATAATTTTTTACTGATTTATTATTTATTATAAACGTAAAAATTAGTTCTTACATTTTTTATTTTTTTATTTCTATATGAAATATACAATTTGTACCTAATAGCACAATAAGTAAATATGAAATAAGAATAGACATATTATAAGGTATTAAACATAAAAATATTAAATAATTGTAGGTATATTAAAACTTAACTTTAATATTAAATACCTAATTTAAATTCAATTATTTTAATCATATAACAAAAGGATTGATATTAAATGTAAGTGATAYAAGATATTGCCAATTATAAATAATATTTCAGTTCATAAAATATTTTTTTTAAGTAACATTATGAAACCTAAATTATATAAAACTTCTTACCTGTTTATAAACTATTAAAATTAATTATTAATTGAAGTTAAATGTTAAATATTAAAATACTGCCAATTATTCAATATTATTTTTATCCTATAAAACAATGTTTTTAATAATATAATTAAACACATCTAATGTAAAACCTCTTGATTTTACTATTGCAATCTATGAAAACTTATTATCKATCGTTTATAGACTACTGTCTACGAATACACTGCTAAAATTATATTTTTATATTATTAATCAATGTATCAACAAGTAACTAAGATTTAATGATTATCTATATAAATAAAAATTAAAT